ACTTTTCCCTGCAACTGCAGGAAGTGCTACACCTGCCCCTACACCTCTCCCCTCATCCCCATCCCAGGCCCCAAGAAGACTTTCCACATCAAGCAGATGTTCACCTGCACATCTGCTAATGTGGTATACTGCATCCGCTGTTCCCGTTGTGGCCTCCTCTACGTCGGGGAAACCAAGCGGAGGCTTGGGGACCGCTTTGCGGAACACCTACACTCAGTTCGCACTTAACAACTCCACCTCCCAGTCGCGAACCATTTCAACACCCCCTCCCATTCCTCAGATGACACGTCCATCCTGGGCCTCCTGCAGTGCCACAACGATGCCACCTGAAGGTTGCAAGAACAGCACCTCATATTTCGCTTGGGAACCCTGCAGCCCAATGGTATCAATGTGGACTTCACAAGCTTCAAAATCTCTCCTCTCCCTACCGCATCCCAAAACCATTCCGCTTGTCCCCGCCTCCCTAACCTGTCCTCCCTCCCACCTATCCCCTCCTCCCACCTCAAGCCCCACCCCCATCTCCTAGCTACTAGCCTCATCCCGCCCCCTTGACCTGTCCGTCCTCCCTGGACTGACCTATCCCCTCCCTAACTCCCCACCTACACTCCCCTTTACTGGCTCCAACCTGGCCTCTTTGACCTGTCTGTCTCCTCTCCACCTATCTTCTCCTCCACTCATCTTCTATCCGCCTTCCCCTCTCTCCCTATTTATTTCAGAACTCCCTTCCCCTCCCGCATTTCTGAAGAAGGGTCTAGGCCCAAAACATCACCATTTATTCCTTTTAAGGCCACTAAGCCCACTAGTCCCTCTTCTCTCTCTATGTCAATTTCTTCCAACAATTCATACTCCTCCCACACCCCCTGAAGTCTATAACGGTGTCATCTGTTTTCATTGTGGAGATGGAAACAAAAGTTTTAATTTAGGGATGTTCCATGTGCAGAATCTTATAGGGCCTGACTGATGTGAGCTATGGCAAGATTAGTGGTTAGAATTGATTGAGAAGTCCTAACTTGATGTTGGGAGCAACTCATTGCTTCTTTTATGCAACCATTGGGCACTGAGGTGGGTTTCTCACTAGGCGGGGTGACGTTGCCTATTAGGGTGGACTACTGCTTGTTAACCACCTTATGAACTGCATATTTTGCCTTATGAACATATAGCTTTCAATCTCACGAAATTTGCTAAACAAACAAGATTCCAAGAATTCTCGACATGGAAGTCAGTGCGGAAACCTGGTGACTTCAGTTCGCCACTGACTGTAAATAGCCTCCATTGTTGCTCAGAACAAAACAACATCTCAGGCACATCCAGCTCGTTTGGTACATTTAGCAAGATAGAAAGCTGAATATAAATTAGGTGAGTTGGGTGATTAACAAAGCAATTAACAAGCAATAATAATCCTTAATTGGCAACTCCTCACTGCATAGTGAGAAAGTTGCTTTACCGCTTGATAAAAGCATTAAAAAATGGAACAACTTACTTCAATGTAGAGATAAGCCTGGCTGGACTTCTCATTTGTTTCTGCCACAAATCTTGCCACAGCTAATGTTGCTCAGAACCCTGTAACATTCAATCTGATATAACTGAAAAGATGTTGGGGGTAAAACTTGCCATTTGTAGGGGTTCAGCAGCAAAGTGATTCAGCAATATATATACCCCATTATAAGTTTACTTTTAAATGAAGTCAATAGAAAAGAAAATCAGGCAGGTGAGTAATGGTGGCTGATTGGTTACTGTCCATTTTCTGTCCTGCCACAGGCTGAATTTTATTCCTTCGACATTTTTATAAAAAATTAATTCAGCCTATGCCTTTCTCGTATTAATAGGTTTCCACACTACACAGTAGGAACTTCTGATTTCTTACTGATGAAAGCATTTTGATTAGTTTTGACTAATTTATTTTGTTCATTTTCATATACGCATTGCTCATTGCTCCTGAACTCTGATCTGTTGCAACTTTAGGAACGTGACAATTTTAACTATTATGTGGAAAAGTGACACTGAAATCTGCACGTACACATAAACAACGTTTGAAATGTGATGGAAAAAAAATCTGTTATTTTCATTTTGCTAGAAGTAAATTTCCTTTGGTGTTGCTCACAGTAAACAAAACTATGTACTACTTTATAAGCAATATACAGTGCAAATCACTGTAATATTTATTGCTCTAGATTTAACCTTTAAGGTTACATAGTCTAATTATTCTTAAATAACCAGTGGTATGTTTTATACAAAAGATAGTTAAAAAGCTATAGACATTCTATTTTTGGTATGTTGTATCCCTGGACAGATACTGGTTTCTTTACACTTATACCTGAAGAGTGACATTTGAGCAATAACACAGAAGTATTTGCTTTTCTTCAAACAAAATCTTAAAAGTCAAGCTTGGAAACCTTAACCACTATAGCCCTGAATTTCTTGGCAACTATTGTATCTCACCACAAATTTGGTGGAAATCCTGCAAGTAGAATTTTTGTTGCTTTTCTGGTGAAGTTACAGTGAGGGAACAGACACAGACTTGAGTAAGTTCTGGCTGACTTCTTGATTTTTCTTTTATTCTTTCCTACTCTTTTAAACCTTGGTGTTAGCCTGCACTGTATGTCTTCTTCCTTTATTTGGGTTTATCAATAATTACTGTAAATATACATAAAATATCAAATGCTCTAACATTAATATTTGGATCATTAGAGTAGAATTGAATTTAGTTTAATTTTAAACAAATATATAAATACCAATCTATTATTAATTGAGCCAATTGACAATAAAGCTTCTGTTTTGTGTTGAAATAGCAATTTGTCTTACCTATTTGTCCAGTTGCTACAATGTTTTTGTATTTTGGGTGTTGATTGACAGTTAAGCAGAGTATGTCATCTGTATGCTCCACATAAAAACTTTGGAGACCTAATGAGAATCATTTAAACAGAACAGATGCAATACAAAAATACAAAATAAGATACTTATTTAATAGACCAGGACAGTATAATTTCTGTACTGTAAATTCACACTTATTTAATTTACACATATGCTTTGATATTCAAATAGATTGACATATATTACAAAGAACTATCCATTATCTATACAGAGGATACAGTGTGGAGCTGGAGGAAACAGCTGGCCAGGCAGCATCAGAGCAGCAGGAAAGTTGACGTTTTGGGTCGGGACCCTTCTTCAGAAGTGGGGAGGGGAGAAGGGAGGTCAGAAATAAATATTTATTTCTGAGCTCCCTTCCCCCATACCCATTTCTGAAGAAGGGTCCCGACCCGAAACGTCAACTTTCCTGCTCCTCTGATGCTGCCTGGCCTGCTGTGTTCCTCCAGCTCCACACTGTGTTATCTCTGACTCCAGCATCCGCAATTCTTACTATATCTGTACAGAGGAGATAGTTTTTATCCGACAAAACTATTTGTCCAAAATTACTGATGGCCTTTTATTTACTACCAGGAACTACCAACACAATGCAGTCAACTTAAAGACCAAACAACTTGTATTCCGTTTAATATAGAAGATAAGGGGGACCTAACGGAAGTAATTAAGCTACTAAAGAGGTGGGTAAGAACTATTTCCTCTGATACAAGTCCTGAACAAGAGGACATAACCCTAAAATTAGAGCTAACTGTTGGGTTGATTTCAGGAGGCACTTCTCTGGAGTTTGTGAAAACTTGGAACTCTCCCCAAAATGCTATTGAGACTGTCACTTGAAAATTTCAAAACTGAGATTACTGGATTTTTGAAAGACATAGGAACTAATGGCTATGCAATCAAACAGTAAGTGAAGTTAAGATTTGCATTTACATGTGAATTCATGTGAATGCCAGACATAAAATGGCATAATCTTTATCTGATGTTCAGAATTCTATTTTGATTGCCTGAATTAAAAAGTCATATACTTATTACCTGATGACAGGTTCTGAACAATGCCAGCAGCAGCTGTGTGAAAAACAATATCAGTCCCATCATTGAGATAATGAAGATTGTTGCGGCAATCAAAACCTCTGTATCCAAACACGTGTTCTAAGGCAATCTCCTGAAAGAAAAACATGAATTTAATATCAAAAACATCACAAATTGAAGCAGACTTCAAAATTACACACAGTGGAAATCTGTTATAAAATGAATGTTGGAAGTTCAGGAAGTGAAACCATATTATAACTAAACCATGGATCAATGTTGGGGGATAGACTCAAAAAGAATCTAGACAGAAGTCAAGATAGTAGGAATTGCCGATGCTGGATAATCTGAGACAACAAGGTTTAGAGCTGGATGAACACAGCAGGCCAAGCAGCATCAGAGGAGCAGGAAAGCTGACTTTTTTTTCTGAAAAAGGGCTAGACAGAAGCCAAGCCCACTTTTCACAAAGTCTAAAAGCCTCTTTGCATGCAATGCTATTTCAAAAATTTTAAACTGGGAGGAGGAACTGTTGCTGGGGCTCAGAGGAGTTTGGGATGGGGTCATGCTGGAATCTGGTTGTGGCCGGTGCTAAGAGGTGAGTCAGGTCGGAGTTATGTGTGGTGTGAGAAAGAGCCCAATTGGGAAAGTTGGAGCCAGGCAACACAGGTGGTGCTGGAGTACTCAGGACTGTGCTGGAAAGAGTTCAAGAAGTGGTCATAGTCTGGCAGCGGAGGAGTTGCAATCAATACCCAAAAGGAGAAGGGAGTACAGGGTGGGGCTAGTGTGAGAGGTAAGATGAGAGGGAGGGGAAGAGGGGTAGCAATGGGGCAAACAGTGTTGTTGAAGAGGCAACTGGGTCAGGTTGAATTTTTACAGATTGCATAAAAGACTGATTAAATTGAATTTAGATCAGTATTGGTACAACTATAATGGGAGGAGTGTGCAGATAATCAATATCCCTCGAATACTCATATAACACAAAAAGAAAACATTCCCTGTAAAGATAATGCTTTAACAAGGGTAAAAAGAAAACAAAAAGTGTGAATCAAGGATCTGAAAACAAAGGATAGAATTTTATGGCTTCTCATGGTCCACTGGGTCTTCTGATGACAAAATTGAATTTCAGTTCTGATTGTAATTAACCTGAATCCAATTCTTTGGAAAGTGGTCACAGACTACTTTTCACGATATGCAAGGTAGTCACAAATATTACTTTTGGAAATATCATCAGGTTCTCAGGAACTACTACTGACAAAATGAGGGAGACTTGCAGTTTCTGAGGTATCTTTAATGAATATATAAGTCTACAAAACAGGAAACCATTTCAGAAAGGACTGCTAGGCAACCATGAGCATAGGTTTTTAAGTAATTAAGGGTGTTAAACCAATCTCTTATCTCCTTGAGAGCTTTGCTTGCCTCTGCTCCAAAGTCATCAGATTTTCTTTAAACAGCAGGTGGCTTCCAGCACACTTCAATCTGCGGATTTATGGAGTTGTAGGCATCAGTAACCAACCGACACGTTGTCACTACTTGATAATTTCACATGGTAAACACATTCAATCCAGAACATGGACTGCTCCCCATCTTGTAATTTTCTCACATAGTCCTTCAACTTAAGTAAGTATTCCCAAAATATTAGTGTTTAAATTGCTAGAATATGTTCCATATACACAGGTAACTAGTTCTAACTTGTGTTTGATCTTCAGAAAGGGCTCTGTTAAATCTAGAGCCTTGAAAAAACTCATGGGAAGCAGTATTTCCTTCAGCTTTTGTGGAACCAATAGAACACTTTGTGGTGATCAAGAATAAATGACTCCATGATTCTCAGATTTTGAAACTGTTCAGATTTTAGTCAGAGGTGTTGAACCAATGTAAGGGTTAAGGACAAACAGGACCATGATCGAAATAACTCCACAGAGGCCAGTATCCCCATCACCAAGTCACACTCTTTGTCTACAGTACTGTCTCACTCAGAATCAAGCTCTAAAATATCAGTATCTTTGACACTCACACTTTAAACATGTCAGCCAGGTCTCCCTGATTGGACCAGATTAACAGTCTAAATCAGGGAAATCATAATCTATGAGGTCCAGCTGGCTGACCTTGTTACAATCATTATATCCCTCCTACTCTACATCCACGGACATGGGCTGGTCCTTTTTATTGGAGAGTGAAATAACTGCACAGAGGCTGGTATCCTATCACCAAGTCACCCTTTATTTACATGTGCACAGTACACAGGCTCTGATCAGCCAGCTCAAAGCTAGTCCCTAGACTGAGGGGACCTTGTGAATCTAAGTCTGGGGATGTAGGCCTGTTCTTTCTTCTAACTTCTCTTGGGACATTTTCGCTCTGGATCCAGTTCCTCTGACATGGACTCAGACACGGGCAGTGTATACCAGACCTTAGCCCAACTCTTGCACCCGGAGCGTCTTGGGAGAGTTTCCTCCTCTTTTTCCGGTGGTAACAGTATCAAGGCTGCATCCATCTCAAACTCTGAGGTTTGCTTGATGCTAGACAGAGGGGGAGAACCCACCGTTTCTGATAGCCTTTCTGGCTGTTCTGAGAGGCTAAGTATGTTTTGCTCCTGTCCTGTTTGCGCAGTAGCAGCTTTTAGGTGATCTACGTGTTTATTCAGGACTACCTCACCTACCCGAACTTTATATGTCAAAGGACCTGACCTTGCGTTGAGCTTGCTTCATACCCATGCCAGGTCATTTCTGTGGTTCTGGTACCAAACTTTGTCCCCTGAAGTAAACTGTGTCTCTTTTGCTTAGAGGAGGCACATGGCCAGTACTAGTGTTCCTGATATTGTTTCACCGTCCACCCCCTGAACCCCACCCCAGGTCCGGGAATATAAGGTTTAACTTGATGTGGAGTCTTCTCCCCATCAGCAACTCTGCTGGAACTATCCCTGCAGTTGCATGAGGGGTGGTCCTGCAATCAAACAGGAACCGGGACAATTTAGTATCGAGTGAAGCTGTAGGCTGTTTCTTTAAACCTGCCTTCAACATTTAGACTGCTTTTTCCACCAGACCATTGGACGACAGATGGTATGGAGCTCTCCGAACATGCTAAATGCCATTCGACTTTAGGAAATACTCGAATTGCCTATTGGTAAATGATGTCCCATTGTCCACAACCAATACTTCCAGGAGTCCGTGTATTGCAAACGATGCTCGCAGCTTTTCAGTCATCATACCTGAGTTTGCCGAATGAACCCTGTGCACGTTCAACCACTTTGAATGTGCATCCACAATGAGCAGGAACATTAAGCCCATGAAAGGACCCATATGGTCAATGTGTAAACCCACATGGGAGGTGATGACCTAGTGGTATTATCACTGGACTGTTAATCCAGAGATCCAGATAATGTTCTGGGGACCTGGGTTTGAATCCCGCCATGGCAGATGGTGGAATTTGAACTCAATAAATATCTGGAATTAAGAGTCTTATGACGACCGTGAATCCATTGTCGATTGTTTGGGGAAAAACCCAAGTGGTTCACTAATATCCTTTAGGGAAGGAAACTGCTATCCTTACCTGGGCTGGCCTACATGTGACTGCAGACCCACAGCAATATGGTTGACGCTGAACTGCCCTCTGGGTAATTAGGGTTGGGCAATAAATGCTGCCTAGCCAGCAACGCCCTCATCCCGTGAATGAATAAAGGAAAAAAAAAGTCCAGGGTTTAACCGGCCATTCCCATGAATGTGGGCGTGGTGCCTGTAGTAATTTTTGTCCTTGTTGGCATGCTGGGCACTGCCTCACCAAAGCACTTTGTTGGCATCCAATCTTGGCCAACAGACATAACTCCTTGCCAACATCTTCATTTTGGAAACCCCTCGATGACCCTGGTGGAATTCAGCTAGTATCTGGCAACGACCTTTACTCAGGACAATCATTTTTGCTCCCCGTACTAATATGCCATTCTCTGAGATGATCTGGTCTCTCCGGGTCCAGAAAGGTTTCAATCCTGCTTGTGGTGGCCCCTTTCTGTGTTCTGCCCCCCTTCCTCCAAACCACTTGCTATTTTAGTTTTGCGAGGACAGGATTTTTTGTGTCCATTCTGTCAGTGATAACTGGAAGGGTGTCCAGAAAGTCTAAAAACAGAACAGACTCTTCCAGGGGAGCCACTACCAGTGGTATATCCGCCAGTGGGAGGCTGCTTAAGGCATCCACATTTACCACTTGGCCTCCTGGATGGTAGTTGTATGCGCTGAGAATAAGGGCCCACCGCTGAATTTGATGAGAAGCCATGGGCGATAAAGCCTTGTCTTTTTTAAGTAGTCCTAACAGGGGTTTGTGGTCTGTAACTATGGCAAATTTCCATCTGCAAAGGTATTGGTAGAACTTTCTCACACCAAAGATGAGTGCCAAACTTTCCTTCTCTATCTGAGCGTATTTGCGTTCGGCATCAGCCAGTCTGGAAGCATATGCTATCGGGCATTCCTCTCCCATGAGCCAACACTATCCCGATACTGTATGGGGAGGCATCACATGTTAGCACCACCTCTCACTTGGGATCATAGTGGGCCAACACCTTAGATGACGATAGCTACTTTTTCACTTCCCTACAAAGTTACTTCTTTGCCATTTCCAAGGCTGACCCTTTATGAATAGCAGATGTAAGGATGCCAAGATGGAGGCCAGGTTACGTATGAACTTTCCACGATAATTCACCAACCCAAGGAAAGACTAAGCTCCGGTACAGATGTGGGAGCTGGAGCACTTTTGATTGCCCTCCCTTTATCTTCCAACAAGTCTAACCTGGTTTTTGTTGGCTCTGTAACCCAGGTAGGCCACTTGGGATGCCTGGAACATACATATTTTCTCTTCCAAGGTGTATGCCTCCCTGTAAGAAACATTTAAGTACTATGTCCAAGTTCTCCAAGTGCTCTTTATTGGTTCTTCTAGTTATTAACACATCATCCAGATAAATGCAACCTGAGGTGAACCTTGTAAAATATTCTCCATCATCTACTGAAAAAGGGTGCAGACTTATGATACCCCAAATGTCAGTCTTGTATACTGTTACAAACCGTAATGGGTATTAATTGTGGCATACTTCTGGGACTTCCCATCTAGTCGTAATTGCAGGTATGCATGGCTCATGTCTAGCTTCATGAAGGACAG